AACGTGCTGCTAGTGTATGTGTTGGAGTTGTTCCCAACATGCGTGAGAAACTCGACCATGTCGATTGTGAGGGAGGCCATATTCTTGGACGAGTTTCTTGGGCCATGGTAGTGGCAGTGGGGCCCGCCAAAGGGAACGGATTTTTCATATTCTTGGGGTGACGATATTGGTGTGTGAGTTGTTTGTGGTGTTGGCTGCCGAAGATGAAAAGGAGGGTGTTGATCGATATGGAGGAGGAGGAAGACTATCGGGGTGGGGAATTTGGCTTGAGTAATTTGTAGCTTTCAAAATAAAATGATGGTATTGATTTGTTAGAAATCTAAGTCATCTCATATGACATCGAATGTAAAATACATATATTCATTATTTTCATTTGAATAGGTTTAATGATAACTATATTGTAACAATTATATGTATATAATAAATTTATGATTTCGTCGCATATTTGTTATTTTATTTTCTTTTTTTGTAATTTTTTTTTATAATTTTATTAAATAATAAAAGTTAATAATGGTAACTCCCTACATTAGTGGCCTTGGACATTATAGTGAAAGGCATTTTTGGCAATCTAATTTTTTTCAAGAAACAACTCTCTTTTTAAGAAAATTGTAAATTATATATTGCATGTTCGACGCACGTGATTATCAATATTTTTTTATGATTTAAATGTTATATTTATATTGAATTTATTCTTAAGATTCAAAATTTTCCATTAATTTAATAAAAGAGGAAACACAAATATAATAAATTATGCAAATGTATTAGCACTGAACATATAATTTGTAATGGTATTAATTAAAAGTTATAATTAAATAAAAATATATAAATAAATTTGTGTTAAAAATTCAAAAATGAAATCAGTCAATTTTTTGTGATTGTTGATTGCTAACGAGGTCTCATTTGCCTATCATTTGTTAATTAATATTGTCTTCATCATTGTTTGAAATCATGATAATCGTTGTCTTTATTTTTATTGATTTTATTTTTTTATATCTTCCTTTGTTGTCACTGTTGTTTGTAGCGATTAGATTTAATTGTTAATTCAATGTCAATTAATCAACATAGTTTGGATGTTTTCTCTTACTCTTATCTTCGATATATATATATCATGTAAATGATTTATGCCAAAAAATAATCATGCATTATACACAAATATAAAATGTTTATTTTGTAATATTTTTTCCTTAAGTAAATANTATATTCTATTAAGAGAAATATATTTTTTTAATTTCCAGCTTATTAAAAAAAAGATTTTGAATAATAATATTTAAGTTCACCTTTAGTACTACACATGATATAAATATAATTTTATGCTAATATATTGCATATATATCTTAATTCAATTTTGAATATTTTATCATGCTATATCTTTGGATTATTTTGTTGTCACAATGAGAGAGCATTTTATCTTGCTATATCCTTGTCATAGTACTTAAAGATTAAATGTTAGTTTACTCGAGGGATTCAAGTGTATAAAGTCCACGGGTTGTGGCCAGAGAAGTAGTTGGTAAGATCGAGTATAGTGTTGGCTAGGTTAGAAGGGAGTTCTAATTGTATAAATCCAAACTATACAAGTGTGCACAATCGATCTATTAATCAAATATCTCTGAGGGGTAGTGGAATGCTCCCCGAATAGTTTTTTTATCTTTTGTTTGTGCTTACGCAATTATACTTATTCTGGTGTTACAACACAGTTTAAGAAACTTACAGCAATACCGTATTCTGGATAAATTGAAGAAAACTCGAGCATCTTAAACTACAAAACATGAACTTCACAACCTCATTATTTACGATACAAATCATATTCAGTCGAACTAAAACTTACTCAATTACTCATCTTTCAATCAATACTCAAAAGTCGTCTAAGAATATCCAACCAAACTGCCTTTATTTATTTGAGTGAAGGATATATTATACAGAAATACATATACACATACATTTTTTTTTCCAATTTTTTTACAGCCTAAGTTTTCCTATCCGCTGTAGCGGTACAACCAGGAACTTTAATGTACGGTTGAAGATGGATGATGAGAAGTCAAGATGGAAGCCATTATCTGTTTTAAAGATGGTTGCAAAACTGTATATGGATTTTAATCTCTGATAACTCTGGTTGATCCCATGACAATTCTGTCCTTACCCTGACGAGTGGGAGTAATTGTGAAACTAATACAAACCTTAATGGGTTCATTGTGAGACCTTTCAGAATTCAGAGGTATGGTATAGTGGAAAGAGTACCTAGACCATTCCTTTTATTTAGCCAATAATAGTTATTTTAGTCATCTGGATGAGTTAGTTCTGAAATTATATAACATCTGGACATGCTGTAGGCATATATACAACTACTATGGAGCTTCTTTTTCCTTTTTTTTTTTTTTTTCTTTAC